AGGCCACAAAGGGCTTCTTTGGATAAATGTCCTGGTTACTGATTTTGCTTTTCGACTTCTGATGACTGTTCCCTGCATGTTGATTCTCATCCCCAGAGACCTTTTTTTTTATGTCTACATCACCCACACTGCGCCCCAGACTAGGTGCCAGGCTGAACCCCACCCAGAGGCACCATAACCTTGGCCTTGATCCCAGACTGACTCGAACCCTGACCAAAGCCTGGATACACCCTTTTAAGCACAACCTCTGGTGTCATCAGGAAAGCCTTTCTTCCTACACCAGGGTCTCTGTTTCTGCTGGATCCATGGGACTTCAGAGTAGGGAACCCCTTGCCCAGTGCCAGGAAGGCTTCACCTCCAGCTCATGGAGCTGAGGGCATGCACACTTCCTGCTGCTGGCTGGCCCAATACCGTCCATCACCCCTTGTATCAGGCCTACAATGCCAGTCTTTCCATGGACCTGGATATGCGTCGCTCTGGGGCCTCTGGTATACAAGACTGCTAACCTCCCCCTGGTGCTGTTTAATACTCGCCCCATCCCCCACCTACTACCACTACTCTCTTCATTGGGGAGTGGGCCGGGGCACTACTGCCAACAGGGCCTGACAAGGCCAGTTAGGAGCCCCCTGAAATGTTTAGAGATGAAAGGAGCCATGGAGGTGAAGTCCAGCACCCTCACTTTACAGATGCAGAGCTGCACAGCTGGCCAAGGTGACACAGCACCTCAGGGGCAGGGCTAGGCCAAGAATCCAGGGTCTCCTGTCTGCTACCTCAGTTCCTTCCCCACTGACACCATCTTGCAGCAACTGAGGTCATGCTAAGTAGCAGCCTTTGTACCCAGATGCTTGTTGGCTTTTCCGATGCCTCTAATTGGATTATGTATTGCACCTAAGTAGAAGGTTCAAGTTAAGTAAACACCTGATATTTTCTCAATGAAGACACACATTTCACTATAGAAACAGCCATAAGCAACCCCTGCTCGACATATCCAACCACACCCCCAATAAACTCATTCCATGTTGCAGTGGTCACACTAGCCCCAGCCGGCACCCTTCTAGGGCTCATTTTCTCTCTAGAACTTAGCATTTCATGGCCAGGAACCATATGATACCTGGGTTGTCCTTCCTTGGCCCACTGATAACTATTCTTACCCACAGTTTCTGGCCAGCCCACCTGCCACCCAGCAATCTTCATCACTCACAGTGAGAGCTCAGCCTCTCAAGGCCCAGGCATGTTTCCACTGTGGGGGTTCATCCTGCACCAGAGAGCCTGAGTTCTGGGTCTCTGGCCTCCTGTGTGGCAGGGGCAGGGGTACCCAGGGCCATCCCGGAGCCTGGGCAGGAAAGCACGTCCTGAGGCTACTGGGTCTGCCCTCCCTCTCGCTGCTGGTGGGGACACCGCACTAAGCAGGCGCCCCCCGGCTCACTCGTGCCACGCCAGTCTTCCTGTTCATTCCACTCCCCAACCCCAGTAAGAGCTTTGTGCTGCCTCGTCCCACTGTTCAGAACACTGAACCCCCAGATCCTCACGTGGCTC